ATATTATATTATATTATATTATGAATTTGAATTTTAAATTAGAAAGATTATAAATTTTAAATTTCATCAGAAATATTATAAGTATTATGAAAATTTTTTTGATTATACTATCCTGATTCTCGTAGTTAAAGTTATATTTAGATTACTTCTGATTTTAGTTATAAATTCTTAAAATTTTTTTAAAAAAATTTATTGAACACTAAAATTAACTTTTACTTAAAACAAAAGGTGATTTTAGGACGAAAAAACAATGCCAAACTAAACCACAGTTATGTATAAAATTTAGGCCATTGCACAAATCGGCTTTGAAATATTGAAATAGAGTGGAAGACTCCAGAGTCTGCTGTGTGAGTAGAAGAAGAAGAAGAAGAAAGCGAGAGAGAAATGGAGCGAGAAGAAGAAGGTAACCTCGAAATCCTTCTGAAATGGGCGTCAGAAATCGGAATTTCAAACTCACCGATCTCCCTCTCCGATCGGAGCTGCCTCTCTTCGTGTTTATGTCATTCTCTCTTCGTTTCCCACTTCCCCGACGCCGGCGGGTACTTCACTCAAAAATCCCCACCGTTTGGTTGCCCAGAAAATTCATGCGCTTTTAACAGCATTTTCTTTTTCATTTTCTTCAATGCTGCAGAAGGGGCTTGGCTGCCGCGCGTCCTCTCAGAAGAGGGGAGTTGGTTCTCAGAGTTCCTAAATCGGCTCTCATGACGAGGGAGAGTCTATCGAAAGATCAGAGATTCTCTATTGTTGTCAATGCTCCTTCTTCTCTCTCACCTATTCAGGTTTTCCTTTTGATTTTGTTTTCTTTTCTATGGTCTGTTTGTTTGCTGGGAAACTTTCCAAGGGAGAGAAGATTTACCTTCTCAACTCAACTCTATTGTTATGGTTATGATTGCTTCCGTGAGTTTCCTGATTTCTCAGTTCAGGTTATGTAATATATATAATATGAAAGCGTTTTTGGATTATGAAGTTTGAGTATGAAGATGAAGGTTATATTCAACAATTAAAAACACGAAAATTGATGCCTTGACTCTGTTTAAATCCATGAATGAATATTATTTTAATGTTTTCTCTCAGGACCAAACGCATTTTTACCATTTTTAAGTTCAAAATTGCATTAGGAATTTTAGGATAACAATTGATAATTCCAGTTCCAATGTTCCTGTACAATCCTGGTGTTTAATGTAGTTATGATTTTTTAGTAGCAAAGAAAGAAATAAAAAGTTATGATTTTACGAAATCAAAAGAGCCAAAAGTCGTTGGTTTTTCCCTCTCAATTTTCTTGTTTACATTCGAAAAGTTAATGGGGTTTAGTTTTTAATATGGTTGTTAATCGCAGGATTACTTATCTCTTTTGTTTTTTGTTTTCCTAACTACAGATATTGATTGTTGGCTTATTGTATGAAATGAATAAAGGAAGGAGTTCGTGGTGGTATCCTTATCTGGTGAATCTGCCGCGAGGTTATGACATTCTAGCAACTTTTGGTGAATTCGAGAAGCAAGCTCTACAAGTTCTGTATTCTGATCATACATACTTTTACTGTTAGGTTTCCCTTAATCTTTGATTAGGAATGTATCACTGTTTAAAACCTTTTTCACATTACATCAAAATGGCTTCTGAAGAAACTTATTATGTGGCTTCTAGGTGGATGATGCGATCTGGACTGCCGAAAAGGCCACGTTGAAGGCTGAATCGGAGTGGAAAGAAGCTAATCCGTTAATGAAAGAACTTAACCTTAAGCCCCAATTTCTGACTTTTCGGGCATGGCTTTGGGCTTCTGCTACTGTGAGAATGCATTTTTCACCCTTTTTTGGGGACATGCTATAATTAATTTGGTTTCCTTGAAAAAAGTTCTCTTAACAGGAGATCATAAGTTATATTTGTGAGTCCTGTCATTGTCTATGTTTCTCCTATTAGGATTTTCATATCCTTTCATTTACATTTTACAGTTTTCTTAATGAAGTTTACTCTTACCGAGTTTCATCACCACTTCAACATCATTATACCAAATGTTGAATCTAATGATGTAAAGTTTTATGCTTCGACTCTCATAAAGATATCATCGCGGACTTTGCACGTACCATGGGATGAGGCTGGGTGTTTATGTCCTGTGGGAGACCTATTTAATTATGTGGCACCTGGAGAAGAGGACTCTGCTCATACGCTAGACTTGGAGCAGCTTGATTCTCATTCACAAAGGCTGACTGATGGTGGCTTTGAGGAGGATGTTGTTGCATATTGCTTCTATGCTAGAAGACATTATGAAAAAGGAGAGCAGGTATTACGAAAAAAGTGTTGTTTGTTTTATTTATTGAAACTTAAAAGTTTTGTCTATTCTAATTAACTTTCTTGATTATTATGCTTACATTTTAATGCGTCTTGGAAGTTCAACGTTAGCACCATTTATACATTGCACAATAGCGTGTAGTTTCTACATTCATGTCCTCTTTCTCAAAGAAGCATGTAGAAAATGCAGGGACTGAAGATGGAAATGCATGCGCACAAACTTGTTAGGTTAAGAAAAAGGAAAGCGTTCTTAGTTTTTAGTTTATCACGTTCTTAGTTTAAAATCATTTGCAGAACAAAGCGTTCAGTTTTTAGTTTATTGAAGCAAGGAGTGTTTCATTAATTCTGAAGTTGATGGGAATTAGTTTATATGTAGTTACGTCTATTTTAGATAACACTCTTCTGTATGGGCATTTTGATGTAATTTATGTCGGTTAAGTTATGGGTTGTGGTCCATTCATTCAAAAAAAAAAAAAAAAAAGAGCACTAAAACTAAACTGCTAGTGAGTCGGTGACTTATGGTCATAGTTCTTTAGGAAACATTAAGCTGCAGAGTTTTAGATGTAACTATTGATTCTACGAGTAATATTTGTTGATTAAGAAAATTGTGTGTTTTGGTTTGTTGAAAGAACCTCAAAAGTTACAAGTTGCCTGTTTCTCTCTACATTTTTCTCTGGAAGAAGTACCATTTACGAACCTGAGTCGCAGCAATAGTTTTATTGAAAAGTGAAATTATCAGCTACCACTAGAATGAAGAAACGTGTAAAAGGATTTTGAATGCAGATCAGAAGTCAAATGGTGTATCTCCACCACGTGAATCGTCTCATAGTATAAATGCTTCTATGATTGCTATGTTCTGCAGGTCTTATTGGGTTATGGGACATACACAAATCTGGAGCTTCTTGAACACTATGGATTTTTGTTAAATGACAATTCTAATGAAAAGGTTTTTATTCCTCTACAACCTGAAATCTGCTCCTCAAATACATGGCCTAAGGACTCAATGTTTATTCATCAAAGTGGAAAACCCTCTTTCGCCTTACTCTCCGCTTTGCGTATATGGGCAACCCCACGAAACCAGCGGAGACCTGCCTCTCACCTTGCTTATTCAGGATCCCAACTCTCGGCCGAAAATGAGATACTTGTAATGAGATGGATATCGAAGAACTGCAACTGCATCCTGAAGAGTTTGCCAACATCGTTTGAAGAGGATCGTTTTCTTTTAAGTGCCATTGACAAAATGCAAGATTCTTGTAGCCCTTTGGAGCTCAGGAATACTGTGGCCTCTTCAACAGCTCATATTCACGCTTTCTTGGAAGCTAATGGTCTGCAAGATGGAGAAGATGTTGCTGAATTACTGTCATCTAGGAAAACTAAACGGGAAATGGATAGGTGGAGATTAGCTATCCAGTGGAGGGTCAGGTACAAGGAAATTTTGATCAATTGTATTTCTCATTGTTCTAGAGTTATTGATTCTTTTACCCCTCAAAATATATAGCATAACTTAATGTTGTAGATATATCTTTAGTTTTACTTTTTCATTGTTTTGTACTTGGTACTTTTTATTTTTTATTTTTTATTATTTTTTGTTGCCAAGAATCACAAGATGATGGCACCAAAATTTTGGGTCTAGTTTACTGTAAAATTTACGAGTTAGGACTTGACAGTTATTCCTTTTTCAATGACAATTCTACACTAAATAGTTGAGAGTGAGAAGAAAGTAAAATCTTAAAAACGTGAAATTTCTTTATTGGTTATTGATTATGATTTTCAAGTAATTATTGATCTTGGCCAGTTTAGAAGATCATTCTCTATTTTTATTCATCTATGCAAAGTGGAGACATTATTTTTTGTTATGTCTGGAAGTGAACAGGTTCCTCCTGTTGAAAGATTATTTTTATTACAACAACACCCGTAGAAATTCACAAACTACACATAAGCACATAGACATTTTTCTATCAAGCCTTTGGAGTTGAGAAGTTTCTAGTGATGTTGAGTGAGCTTAGAGCTTGCTAGTGATGTTGATGTTTCTCACTTTGGAAGGCTTTGGAGTTGTGTCTTTGGGAACAACTATGGTCAGAACACCATTTTCCACCTGAGCTTTTATCTGATCCGCCTTTACATTTTCCGGCAATTCGATTTCCCGAGAAAAGCCCCGTTTTTCTGTTCCCCTCTCAGCTACATGCCAAACAGTGTCTTTCTGATGGGACTCCTCTTTCTCACCTTCACCTCTAATGTGCAAAACGTTTCCCTCTTCTATTTGCACCTTTATCTCCTCTTTGCTGAAACCTATTCACACAAAATGGGTCAATGTTAATCCAAAACAAAAACAAAAAATCCCAAATTTCTGGAAAAGCTGCTCTTACTAGATGACCCAACAACATAATGGAAACCTCTGCAGTTACTGTGTTTTAACTGTTAAATTATGTTGACTGTAAAATCCCGAACAACAATAACTACCGATAAATCAAAAGAACGGATCGTGTATAAGTTCTCCAACAGAATTGCACAATCTAAAAATAACTCATCAGAAGAATAGTGAAAATATGATGACCCATTAAACAATAGCTTAATCCCATAAATTAAAACCAATCAAAGTCTCAAGTAAAATGGCATAAACAGAAAGAAAGTGATAAACCAACAAGACAAATAGCTTAATTCCTTAAAACCCACCAACGAAAATCTCAATAATGTAAATGGGAAGAGCAGTATCAATAATGTTAGCAATTGGTTACCTGGAACGTTGATTTTGAAGATGTGGGCAGAAGGGGACTCAAGCCAGTCCATGAGAGCCGTTGATCCAGACCACTCCCGGAAGATCGGAGGGCTCCAGAATAAGCGCCTCAGAGGGTGACCAAATATGCTATCAGCCATTGCTGATTTTTAGTTCTTTCTTTCTTATCAGCCAAAAATTTTGTTGTTGGTTTTGTGTGGTGCTTTGGTTTTGATGGGTTTGGTGTGTTTTTAATAGGAAGATTCCGAAGAGTTTAGAGGATAGAGAATCCAGAAGGTTCTGCGGGACTTATCCTCGACTCTTTCTACGGGGTCTAGTACCTTGGAGAAGATGGTCGTTTTTAAAAAAAAAAATAAAAAATAAAAAATAATTTTAGGATAGTTCATTACTTCATTATTTGAGTTCTTTGCTTTTTTACCCCCGCATTTTACTTTTATTCAAAAAGTATACCTTATAGTTTGAAGTCTTGCATTTTTATCCTAACCAAATTATATTGTACACAAATTCATATCTTTCTCGATTATTACTTGGTTTTGACCTAAAAAATACCGTCGAAAAGGAAAGAAAAAAAAAAACAACAACAATTTGACATTTTTTTTTGTTATTCTCAATAATAATTTTATTATTACTCGTTGAATGGCCTTCAAATTAAAGAGAAATTGCACGATCTATTTCTCGTTTACTGAAAATGAAGAAAATAGTCGAGCAGAAAAGATGGTATTTTATAAATAAATCTGGTCAATGAATCTGAGATTTAACAGAGAATTTCCGTAAGCAAACACAAGATTTGTAGCAAACTATTGAAATTTTTTTATCGCCTCCCCAAAATTTGGTCATTTTCTTTACTATCTGGCATTTGTTATCGAATAAAAGAGCAAATTAAGGAATCTGTTCTTAATTCACATCTTTATATCATTATCTTAGAATTTTATTCCTTTTAAATTAATATATAAAGGAAGAAAGCGGAGACAAAAATCTTAGGTGCCTTTGAGTTTGTTTCTCCTAATAATGATTTTCTGTTTAAACTTTCGGTTCAAACCAATGAATCAAAACATAGAAAGAAAGAAAAACTTCAAATTCTACAGTTGAGCCATTTCGGATTTACGGGTCAACATATATGTTTTTGCCAAGGAGAATTAACTAAGAATTTTTGCAAATAAGACCAAGTGACGTTTTAATTTAGATAGAGGTATAAGGACTTCTGCCGTTTCTTATACACTTTAAAATTTATTATCCTTCTTTTTTCAATAAAAATCAAATCAAATGGGTAGGGATGTAATTCTTAGAAGGCACAAACCAACTAAAGATGGAGAATAGTAAGTGTATATTTCCTAAACTTATCATTGATGAGTATACATTTCAAAGCTCTTGTTACAAAAGAGCATTGAAAAGGGTGATTTTACATCCATACGAAAGTAAATCTGTTGTGTGAAGATAAAATTTTATGCACTTTTTTTTTTTATCACTAGAAGATTTCTGCACTCATTTTCTCCTTTTATATACTGATTTAAGAGGGATAGAATTTTATGAGAAGAGAACAAAACTATAGAGGTGATAGTTAAGGAGGACGCTTTCCCTAATTCACTATGGTTTACTTTTGGTGTACTAGTGGTTTACTTCGTGGCATATCGATTTGCTTTCTGGCATAACAATGGTTTGCTTCTCTCTCCAGAGAACTCAATTATTCTTGGCAACGACTCCAATTATGTGTAAAGAGAGCTAACAGTGAGTAGCCCGTGATACACTAATTTGTTGTGTAAACCCGGGATTTGTTATCAATATTTTATTTTCACGGACTATATTGCTAACATGTGATAAGTTCAGATGCAAAAGAGCCTTATAACACTACTATACTTTTTTTCGAAGAAGCACTTATCGAGATTGATTCCGAGGCAAGTGAGATATATCCAAACAACATAGGAATCAACAATAAAGTTCCTTAAAGTACTTGTGACGTAATTACACACTAATTTGGTAATAGGTGCCAAAACAAGCTACTAAAAGTGGCAGGCACAATTGACATCTTTCTTTCAATGAAAGTTCACGGATAAGCAATAGAGCATGAGAACTGTACAATTAATTAATTTTTTTATCTTATATGATATGCTTAAGTTAGTGATTATGACTAAGTTTACTTGTGCAAATCTCCGGATCTCTCGTTACTTGAAAAATTTACAACTCAATTCGTGCATCATTTATGTATAATAATAATAAAAAAAAAAAGTCAAAGAAAATAAAGGTGGGATTTGTATAACTATATGTTGCATGTTGTTAATTAAAAAAAAAAGTTAAAAGAAAATAAAGGTGGGATTTGTATAACTATATGTTGCATGTTGTTAATTATAAGTTTTGGTGAAAATATGTCTCTCAGAGGTTCCTTAACCTCTAAGCTCATTTAGGCCAATAATGGGTTTCTTTACAACTGCCCAATTGTGGGGTCTCCTATCAATATGTCTCTCTGAATTGAAGCTAGCTAGCCAGCAATAGCATATTCATGCATGAATAAAGCCTAAAGGTATTAACCATGCAACCATTATTGGCCAGAAAGGACTTTATATACACTAGCTAGTGGATTTGATTGTCAAAGACTTAAATAGTATATGGGAATTTAACTAAAACATTACACCAAAGATGTTTCTGCCTTTTTTCCTTACTTTATTGTGAATTTGATTAATATTGGTCATGTGTAATGAATATGAAAAGCTTAGACATTATATTGGTCGGTTTTGTAGTATATACTTTGTGATTCTTGCTTTTGTAGTAAGATACTAACAAAGTTGCTTTTTAATTTGTCTTTGAATGAGGCTCACATGTAAACCACTACAAAGTTTGAAAGCATTTTCAAGTGCCAAAAAGAAGTTTCAAACCAGTGTTAGGGTGATTCCTTTTGTCCCTATGTATTATCACTTACAAACACGCTTCTAGTATATAGAAACAAAGATATAGACAAGACGCATATGGTTTGGCCCTAGTCCACAAAAATTACTTGACTAAATATTTGCTTTTCCATATTATAAGCTTGCTCATTATTTTCACTTTCTGTCAAAAAAAAAATTTTTCGTTTTTATTTTTCTTAAAAAAAGAAAAATCAGTGACAACTATTCTGTTTGGACGTCACGCATTCTTGCACTAGATAATAATTATGAATTAACTAATATTTCAACAGATGAATTCACCAAACAAAAAACAAAAGAGAAAAATTAATATTCAGCCTGACGGGGAATGTGGCCATGCCACTGCAACGTGGGGTGGAACGGACTTTTTCCAAAAAAATAAACAGATGATGCAGATCTATGTATAATGTAAAAGAAATTGGTACCCATTTTTTATTTGTTATTGTATTCTTTGACACAAGATATTAAATAAGGAGATGATTTGACCCATTTAAGCAAAATAGAACGAGTGAGAATATATATGGAGTAATCATAGGGTTCATGATATACAGAAGCATTTTAATGTATCCTAAAGCGTCGGTATATCAATTTAAGCACTTAAAAACGAAGCAATGAGCTACTCAAAAAGTTGAAAGAAGAGAAAGTGGGGTGAGTAACGCCAAATATCAGAAATCTCAGAAATCACACAAAATCTTCTTTTCATGGCCGCACAAAAGTGTACAAACATAAACTATTCAAAAGGCTAGAAAGGTACAAAAACTTTGACAGTAAGATCAGCAGCTCGCTCGTTGAGGAAAAGCAGAAGAGGATGATGCAGCCCATTATTTGTGTCTAATATTGGGGAGGGGCACACCAATCCGAGAGCTACATCATATTTTGTGGACCATTCATAATATGTGCAACGATGCTTGGGGACTCCGGTACTATCGAGAATCTCACGTTATTAGAAGTTAAAAAATGATTGGGAGCACATCAAGTATTGAGTACCACAATTAATAGAAGATGTCCCGTAATATTATTTTTGAAAAATGTCTCCGAACATGAATCTTAAAAGGCGAGTCATATAATATGACGTTGATAGATGAATCTCATTTGACTCACATTCTATTAATAATTGATATTGAATCAGTGATATTCCGAGCCAGATCGTATATGTGTTGTTTTTACGAGTATAGTATGATATATACAACTTTCTTTTATACTCTCTCTTATTTGGTATACTTTATGATTTTATCTTGCATGCCTAATTTAAACTCAGAAAATTATTTTAGAAATATGTTAAGAATCGGTTATTTATGAACCCTAACAGGAGGGTGCTTTGGTATCTCAAATGATCAGATGTCCATATCATATCTCGAATGTTGTCAGTTTTTTTTCCCATTTCTATATGTTTGTAACAAAGCATATAGCCATATTGATCCTTGCGTGATTCTCCGACAAAAAAAAAAAATGCAATTTCACGAGATCCTGTTGTTTTCTCATCGCATATTAGCGTGAAAGGTTTTAGGCTACAATGCAAAATTCTCATTAAATGCTAAAACTAGCATTTTAGGCAGAAAATTCATCATTATCTTGTTCAACGATATGTTTACAATCAAATTCAACTTGACATATCTAGTTATGAGTTGATTACTCATTTTTATTTCCTTCTTTGTTTTTTTTTTTTTAATCTAAGTGAATCTAATTTCTTGTGGCCCCATAAGTACAGTTATTTTTAAGTTAAAGATAAAACTTTTGAATGAAAACAGCATATCCTTCATGCAGAGAAGAAGTATTATTTTAAAATCACTTTTTTGACAATTTTATTTATGAAATGTTATGTAGATTAAATTGTTCAATATCTTCTTGCAGAAAATTGACTTTGTAACCTGTTATGTGCTAATATATTCCATCATATTTTTGTTACAACCGTTTGGTGATATACATTGGTAGTGCCCTTTAGTATTTATTTGGTAAAACAATTATTTAGATATATAAGTTCCAAACCTTTGATACAACAAATTATACAAGTAATTGATAAAATTTTCCTCCTCTAACTTGTGCCCATGAAATTATTATATATTACGATTAGCCCATAAAAATATATTATTTCCTTTTTATTGGGTTCCAACAATATTCGGAAAACATGCTAACTTGAGATGAAAGCCAGGGCTGGCTATTGGATTTAGATAATCAAGACATTATATATATATTGATAAAACGAAAGTAAATCCCAAAAAGGAATACAAAATAAAGAAAGAAAACGTACAAATCCATGTACAAAACCAAGAGAAACATCACAAATCAAATTAAGAAAATATATCATCTGCCCTTTACAAAAAGAATATGCATTTTTTTTTTTTTTTTTTTTTTTTTCACATTAGACAATACAACTTTTGTTAAGTGGAGAGTAGATTGGAATCTTTAGCTTCCTTTTTTTTTTCCCCACTCTTTTTTAACTTTGTTTTGGGCAAGTGCCCTATCATACATCTTTCCCATCTTTTCTTTAAACCTCCTTTTGGAGAGAAATATAAAAACAAATCCAGGAAAAGGGAAAAGAGAAAGGAAAGTTGACATAATGAAGAGAAGAAAGGAGGCAAAAGAGAGCAACGGACACTTTGCTGAAGGAGTGAGGATGAAATAAATAACTTTTTAATTTATTTACCTGCATTTAAAAAAAAAAAAAGGTTACAGCCAAGTATAACTGTCAGTGAAATAATAACAATAAAAAAAAAATTTTGCATATGATTTTCTATTTTAAATTTAAAGTAAAGCAAGTGGATGATACTAGAAAGTAATCAGATAAAATGAAAAATAATTAATTAAACAGAAACAAAAAAAAAAAAAAAAAAAGAGTAAAGAGTACTTGTAATTACCATTTCCCTCACAGATCTTTCTTAAGAAAGCAAGGAAGATGATGATTAGGGCAACTCCAGCTAATAATCCGATGATAATTGCAAATGTCTTCTCACCATCATCGGTAGATTTATCTACAAAGTCATTTTGGGAGAAAAAAACGAAAGAAAAACACATTACTAAGAGTTGATTAAAAGAGTAAACATCCATCTATGTTCCTTTCCTATTAATTAGGTGCACGAAACTCTTACATGTATAATGGAGATTGAAATTCACGACACATATTCATTCGACATCTTTACTACACGTGTTTGAAGAAAGAACGGATATTGAGTAACAATAATTACAAAAAAAATAGTTGTTATCTATTATTATCGGTGATGTCATTGCCACCGATTTGATAACATGTATACCTGCGGCATAGCAATATGAGACACAATTGTCATACTTTTTTTAAATATGACCATTCCGTGATATTGTCATAATTACGGTAATGTGTCATAATCTGAATAATAGTAAATAGCAATATTGATCAAACAATATAAAATTTCAATAAAATATGATAAGAAATATCAGTTCACACACCTGATTTTACTATAAAATGTAGAATTCAAATCTTCTAAGTTTTATTTTTTATTTTTTTTTTAAAAAATTGTACAACTAAGGGTTTTGGAAATTAAGGAGTAGAGAAAGAGAGTTTTGAGAGTTGTGAAAAAAAATAAAAAAATTTACCGTGATGAGTCTTGGAATAATAATGGGCCCCATCCGTCGAGTACCTCGCATAACACTTGGCCAGGAACATATCCCCAAAAACCGCTTGCCCACAGTCGCTCTTGAGCCGTCCGATGGCCTCCGACACGCAATCCTGGCACTCCCCGAAGCTAAGATCACCCACACATTGGGCCACGCCCTGTACGTCCCCGGACCCACCAACCCTGTAAAGCCCACCAGAGCCCGCAAGCGAGCCCAGTACAGCATCCCTCCTGGCCAGCCCATCCACGTCGTAGCCCACAGACGGCCCACACTTCTTGAGCACCACAGTCTTGTCCTCAACGCCAAGGAAAGTGGCGTTGTCGTACTTGACGTAGCATCCCTGGAGCTGGAGCGCTCCGCCACAGGTCTGGGAGCAAAGGGGACCGAGTTGAGTCACCGCACGTGCGACGCACGTGGCGCAGTCGGGCATGGCGAGGTCGCCGCGGCACTGGAAGAGGCCGTAGACGACGTCGTGTTGGGTGGAGCCGGTGATGGTGAAGTTGTTGTAGGAGGAGTAGGTGGCCGAGTTGACCAGGGAGGTGAGTAGCGAGTTGACGTTCGACTCGTAGGGCGAATCCGCCGAGTACTTCTGCTGAGTGCATCCGCCGAAGAGGAACCCGTCTGTCGGCGGAGAAGAGGAGGAAATGGATTGAGTGAGGATGGATAAGAGGAAAAATATGAAGAGGAGACTTGTGGTGGAAGTACTACTACTCTTACTACTTGTTGTTCTTGAGTACACCATGTTTTGTATGGCTTGGTTTTTTTTTTTGGAGAGAGAGAGAGAGAGAGAGAGAGAGGAGAGAGAGAGTTATGAACTTATGGGGCAAGCGAAGGGAAATGTGTACCATTGGATGGGAATTTAACGTTAAGTTGGGAGCTTAATAGGAGAGTACAACAGTCCTTTTTTCCCCTTTGATTATTAGTTTGTTCTTTTTTTTAAGTGCTCTATAGTTTTGTCATTTCTTAGCTTTATGAAAGAAGAGAATTTTTAGTAAGGTTAAAAAGATAAGAGGAGTAGAGAACAGCCTTAGATCATTCAAATTTTTATACAGTTAGGTTCAATTTTTATACTTTTTTCTAGTATGATTATGATTATGATGTGATTAGTTAATAAAAAGCTCATAATTAATAAAATATGAGTTTTATTTAAAAAGATAATTTTATTTTTTTGAGTGAGCGAAACTGTTAGAGAGTAGGACTAATAGTTGGAACTACATTACGTGACAATTGTAATTACAAAATGCACGACACATTGCCATCCTAGATTGACCAGTCCTGCAATATTGTTGATATGATAATAAATTTGAGGGCTATTACTAATTTAGTGTGTTAAGTATTTTTATTAGTTGGAAATTTATTAACAATCTTGTAAAAATTTAAAAAACAAGTGAATAAAAAATTGATGCAGTTTTGATTGTGATATTGGTGCAGACTTCGTGTTGCAGATTTGCAGAGATAAAGATGGAGTTCCAGCAAAGTAGATATAACAACTGTGGTTTAAAAGTCAAAAGATTTGATTTTACGTTTGAATTCAAGTTGCAGTTAGTTTCGAGTTGATCAGTTTTGATAAGTCATGATAAGAATTGCAGTAGAAGATATGTCTTGGATTTGAATTTTAAAAAGGGGATGTTTAATATTTGAATTGCAATGAAGATAAAAGAGTGGTGTACAAGTCTAAGTGCCAATCTGGATTTAGTTTGATATATGTAATTCACTAGATGATTTGATTAAGTCAAAATTCGGTTATGATAAGGCTTGAATAAATTGAGATATATTTTAAAGCCTTTTCAAACGTGTATTGGATGAAGATTGTATGGTGGTAGAGCATAGAAAATAGGGCAGGATACTGAGTTTAGATTTTAAAGTGAAGATCAGATAGTGTTACAACAAGTCGTGGAACAGATTGTGCAACAGTTTGAATTTTGAGTAAGTTTGGAGATAAACGTCTACTACTCTATAAATAGGACTCAAAACCATTCATTCTATGGCCTTTCTGGGTTTCATGCATAATATTTTGAGAAGTTCCCGTTATCATTCTTCGGTAGAAGACGCTTGTAGTGTTGAAGGGAGTTCAACAGTTTATCGTTCTTCAGGAGAAGATTTGAAACTTTCGGGAGAGAGCGGCCTGCCAGTCGAAGAGATTTCGGCATGCAGTTTTTGAAGACAAGTAGTTCTCGCTAGACAAGGCTATCAAGTAGATTCGACACGGCGGCAATATTGTCGAAGAGAGAGCCTTTGAGTGTATAAGTCCGATTGCTGATTGTGATCATTGATAGTTAGTGGATTGTTCACTGCCTGGGAGTGGTCTCGCGATATAAGGAATTATCAAACCGCAATACCAACTTCTTATGCTTATTTATTTATTGCTTTTATACTCTATTAATTGAACTTGATAAAATAATTGTGAAAAACGGATCTAACATAGTAAAATGTGTTTTTTACCCATGTTTTTTATTTAAAAACGAAAATATCAACTATCTTACAAAACACACATAAATCCCCCCTCTTAATTTTTCACAATGCTCACATTATCGTTAACTAGTCTCTTAAAAATCAAAATATTGATAATGAAAACAATCCCAAAAATCATTATATGAAACGAAATAAAATAAAAAAACAGGAGAAATACATTTTTTTAAAAATTATTGTATAGTGCATAGTGAAAATAATTATGTTGAAAAGTTTAGCAAAGAAAAATAAAGAAAAAAATAGAGAATTTACTTTTAAGAATACATGAGCATGAATCTTTACCATTTACTCTTGATAAATACTCTTTGTTAATATAATTATTTAACTAAAAAAGTTATAAATTAAAAATAAAAATAAAAATCATACTCATACATTTTTAAAAATATTTGTTAAGATTACTTAAACATACATGTCCAAAAGAGAAACTTTCCAGATGGACATTATCCTCTATATTCGTGCGTCTAAGGCCCTCTTGATTTTAACAAGTTTTTACTTTGGTAAAAAGTAGCAAAAAATGAATGCACCATCTTCAAGCCACGCGCCTTTACATCTTTTCAAGCAAAAAATGATATAAAACTTTCGACCATAAACTTTACTAATCCCACCACTGAATCTAACATTAGTCATTCACCTTACATATGCCAATTTGCCTCGGTCACTCAAGAGTTAACATGATTCAAACTATAACTTATATATATGATAGACAATCTAGTATGAATGTGATAAAACTATGCTGATGGAAAATTTTTGAGTTTGTGTTTAAGTGAGTAAAAACTTAAATTTATATTTAGATAGTATTTTAATAAAAACTCAATGTTGATGAAAAATTTTAATAGGGTATATGGGTGGGGTTTTATTCGTCTTTTCGTTGTGAACGCATAAAAAAATAATCTCAATCAGAATTAAAACGAAAAAGTTATAGCATTTGTAAGAATAGAAAAAATATTGTTCATTAATTTGAGTTCGAGTTTCTGAACTCGAGTTGAAGGGGTGAAACTTGAACTCGAGTTTTAGTCCCAAACTCGAGTTCAAACTCGAGTTCAAACTTAAAAGAACATAAACTTAAATAAAGTTGTAACTCGAATTATTATTTTTTTTAGTTTTTAACTCAAAAAAGGGGCTGCCGAATAGCCCCTATATATGTGATCTTCCGTTCGAGTCTAGAGATGTGACAACGACGTTAAAAGCTGATGAGTTGAATATGTGTTTACATTTGTGTTTTCCCAACTCATTATTTTGTGAGTTTTTAGGTGTTTTTAGGAGTTATTTATGTGTTTTCAATTTATTTTGTAGGTTTGTTTCAGTTGGAGTCCATTGGTGATTTTTGGGAATTTTTGAAGCAAAATTGAAGAATGGGTGCTAAGGCTTTGTAAAGGGGCACCTAGTCTTCGAAGATAGAGGAAAAACAAGTTTTTCAGTACAACAAACCCGAGAGCAAAGCGCCTAGGAGCCATAAAGTCGAGCCATGGCGCTACGGAGAAGAAAATCGTAAATCGTAAATTTGCCGAGCAGCGCCATGGCGCCCAGGGATAGAGCCATGGCGCCACTTCGAATTTCTAAAGGCCTGTGTTATGATGCCGCAGCGCCATTGAAGCAGAGCCACGGCGCCAGTTCGGGATTTTCATGTTTTAATCTCTAAATAATGATCAAAAGTGCCATTACAACCCCGAAACTATAAATAGGAATTTTTAGACTCAATTAGGTCAGGCGGAGACTTAGAAAAGAGAAAGGATAACTTTTCTACTGCAGAGGGGAAGACGAATCACCCGGGAACGGAATTCTGCTTCAATTCGTCAAAATAGTTTCTTCTTCTCTTCTCATGTTTAAGAATATTGTTAAGATGTTTTATCTTTTCATTATGTTCTAAGTTTCCTATTCTAGGGCTACGATGTAGCCAGATCATGATGTTTTGAATTATGTTATCATATCAATCAAAGAATTATTCGTCCTAGTTGAGTTTTCATCACTGTTCTTAATGCTTCTAATTAATTGGTCACTAATTGGATGATTAGTTAATTCATAATGAAACCGGAAGGAGATTTATGTTTTTCGATCATTGTGTTGAATTCCATTGATTGCATGTAAGATAGGGATATACTTGCATGGTTGGTGTGGTTGCTACATGAAAATCCATAAAACTTAATGACTCTTTAATTGTTTGAAATTCACATAGGAATATAGTGGGTTAGCAATTAAGGGGATTTTTGATGTAACTCGGAAGGGAGCATCGATTAATTTAGGGATTTTCGACTGTCAATTAAGGGGAATAATTTAAGATTGATTAGATAGATAATTCAAGGCGAAATGGTTTGGTGAAATCGGAAACCCTAGAGCTTGTTAATATTGAATTTTGATAATTACTTAAATTGTTAATTAGATTGTTTAGTTTTATTTATATAAAAATTCTCACTTGCTTGTTTCGTTCAAATAAAGTTAGTATTGATATAATTTCGGTAATTAATATTATTCAGTCCTCGTGGAACAATACTCGTTTCTACGAACTTTACTACTTGATACGATAACGTGCACTTACATTTGAGAAATTACGTAACAAAAGCTTTGCAGCTATTGATATGTGTACGTATGCATGCATATATATGCAGGAGCGGAGGCAGAAAAATAAATCGAGATTAATGTAAGCGTGTATACTTTATGAATTATTATGAGGTAAAGCAAATATAGAATTTCAAAAAAATTTTAGGGAACAAACTATGTAAAATTAAAAGGAAAAAAAATCAGGTGAAGTGGTCTACTACTCTCTGGCATGTATATATGCGTGTATGTATGTGTATCTATGTGTCGGTCTAAGACGTCGTCGGTAGTCGTATTTGCAAGCTCGTGTCACTAGAACTTCAATAATTTTTTGATACATAATAAAGAATATTATTATCATAATTATATCATAATTAAGTTGATATATAATATTGTACTTTTAAAAGCCCCCAGCTAAATCTTTCAAATATATATTATAAGGAATGGCAACCCTTGGTCAATTATCGTGTTATCTTTCTATAATTTTATTTAAGGAGTGTGTGCAGAAATTATTTGACTGAAAAAGATATGAATGTGCAAAACATCCATAGTCAACTAACGAATAAATTCCTCATTATATGTAACAACAACGTACTGTATGTTATCAAAAAATTTGATTTCTGAACGTATATTAAAAAATGCAATCTAAAAAAAGGATATATTATATTAAAAGTACCTAGTACCTAACATAATTGATCGTATGAATAACTACTCAAAAATAAACATAATATAACATGTTATATTAGATCGTGTAAATTAGGTTCTACACCACTTTCGAAATCTAGTTACACTTATTCTATTTTGACGTGAAAATTAAGTTTTTTTATTTTTTATTT